AATCATACATATCTTAACTCAATGATACTATTTTATTTTTAATCACATGAGTGGCTGCAGGGGGCTATCTGCTATCACTTCAATGAAATTATTAAATCTTTTAATGATCTTCATCATGCAGCGTGTTGGCAATATATCTTTTCAGTAATATTCCTTTTAATTATGTATGTGTATAATGTCTCTTCCGAATACAAATATACATGCAGAGTCTAGAGAAAATAACAAAGATGATTCATTATATTTGGACATAAAAGCTCGATTTAAAGTAGTCCCTTAACTATATTGAATAGTTGGATCATTTTCAAATAATTAAGAAATTTTGTTGGCTAGATCATAGATTATTGAAATTAGTTGGCAGAAAATGACGAAAAAGGAATTTACGGGGTCACTTTTGAAAATGTATATTTTGCCATTTCTACTATTTTTTTCTTTTTAAAAAATAAAATTTCTTAGAGTCGACGCAATTTTTTGAGGTTTGACTTCTACTTCGTGTTGTGTCTAGTGCAACTTTTGTGTTGCAATTTCTACCATTTGAGGGAATTTTCTCAATGTTTGGTTAAATTTTTAGCCGTAACTATAATTTAATTTCCTCACATCTAATAGATATTGTAAAATTATTTAACAGTAATCAGAAGTACTAAAGGATCACATATGATGAAAAGTATAGTTAAACGATTACATCAAATCTATCCCCAAAACGTAAGATTTTGTTTTCTGTCATTTTCTGATATCTTTTTAGATTTTGCAGCTTAGATCACAACATTGCCACTATGTAAAACCGACATGAGTTAATTGTAAGTTGACTATCTGCCGTGTATACTCCAAAATAAATTTAAGTTTGATATCACAAACACTAAAAATCTGATCATACTTCTTGTCTACGTGAACTTGCCAGGATTATGATACAATGATTGAGATTTTCTTTTATGTTTGATTAAAATTTTAAATTATAAAATTAAAAAAAATAAAATTGAAAACGTCATTTCAAAAATGAATTATGCGCATACAAAATATAATGCAATAGATAAATGAATTTATTGGACTTTCCGTGAACGTCTTTTTCCTTCAGTGACCATCTTTTTTAGCTTTATTTGTCTCTTCTATCCGTCGACATTTTTTTACTTTTAGGTTTTGACCACTCAAAAAAAAGTTTTTGGATGATGCATTATTACATCATCAAAATGACACAAATGGCTTTTCATACTGCTCGTGCAATCACATAAAATATTTCTTTTTTTTAATGTTATATTTATAGGGACAATCCTTTCTGTCGTCCCTTTTTATGTTAATTTATATAAAAATTAGTCGTTCATATACGCGTAAATATAGTTCATATACGCGTAAATATAAATCATCTATGCTTATCAATAAGTATTTGTGTACTCCTTCATCTTTAATTAAGAAGTCTCGAGTTCAAGCCTCCTTTGATACGGAATTGCTTTTGTTAGGAGCGCTTTACTCCGATGTAGAACTTATTAATGTGACTTTGAATTTAATTGGACTCCAATGTGAATACTAAACACCAGATGGAAAATCAAAAAAAATAAGTCATCTATGCTTTATGATGGATTAGTTAATAAAGCGAACTTTGACAAAAGAGCATTTGAGCATGTTTTGAGAGATGCAGTAAAAATAAATTTTTCAAAAGAGTATGTATAGATGAAAAAAATACTAAACATATAGATTGTATTAACGTTCACGGTGTGCAGTCCACTATTAGCTCATTGTTGGCTCTGAGAGGTAAAAATTAAAGATTCATAATAAGTTCGGAGAGGCAAAAATTAAAGACTACTAGGGCAAAATAGAGATAATTGTGGGAATATATAACTAAGGGTGTGTATAAATATCGAAAAATCGAAATATATAACCCTATATATCTCCAGCAGTTTATTGTCGGGTTAGATTATTATGGGCTTCTGTCAATGATTAATTTTGGGTCTTTTATTGGTCCAGTAACCAGTTCATTGGGTATAGCAAGACCACAGACTGTTCGCCAAAGATATGTTTCACCAAGTGGCCCATAAGCTGGCAACCTGTTCAATGCTACGAGAAATTTAATGGACAATATATTTTAATAAATAATTATTAATTTTAACAATGCTTTTTATTTATTACTATATATAGCAATACTATGTTAAATTTGATATGTATTAAAAGTAAATTATGTATGTAACATATATGAATTATAATTGGTTTTTAAAATATATTAGGTTTGTTTGGTAAAAATTTGACACATTGTATTATAAGTGTATTAAAATGTGTGATAAATGAATTATCTATCTTAAAATTTGTATTATATGTGAATAAAAATTGTTCTTTGTAATATGAATTAAACTTGTATTATAAATGAATTAAAAGTGATCAAGTGAAAAAGAAATATTATTGCTATAACTGGTGAATATTTTTTTTTATCATAGTATATTTATGTAAGTTTCCCCTTTAATTCGGCGCGGAGCATGGATAGGTTCACAAATCAAATTATTAAAAGAGATAAGATAAATTAGCATGTTCTTTATTATAGTATGAAAATCCAAAAGAGGTATACATAATGAATGATATATAAGAATGGTAAGACAATGATCCTAGCTTTAATATGTTTCCAGTATATCAATGGTTTATCTTATGTTATTGTGTCTGCCTTATTATACGACTACTATTTCATGATTTATTAAAATTAGTTTAGCATGTTTATGTGCAAACATAAAATCGTTTTTCCCTTTGAAATAGTCATCAAATTGCATTTTCGCTAATTAAAATGATCATTTGGTTCTGTATACAAGCTCGCCAAATGATTTTTATTTTTTTGGGTACGGTATACATTTTTCAGGATCTGAACGTTTATAATAAAGCAGAAAAAACAGCCTAAAAAACATGCATGGTTGACAACAACTCCATCAAATCTCACTATTCCCTCTATATAAACAACTGCTATTCCTTCATCTCCATTGTAACAAACTGATTAAAGAACAACTTGATTTTGTGTAACGAGTTGAAAATGGGAAATATAAGGACATTGTTGCCTCTAGTGCTAGTACTTTTCTGCGCGCTGGTTGCCTCTGTTTGTGGCTATGAATATGAAGGGAGAAAGAGTGAGCAAAGGACACAAGGAGAAAAATGGTTCCTGTTACGTCAGTTACATAATGTTGTGAAGACTGATGCAGGGTCTATGAGAATGGTGAAGGGTGGATATCGAGCGGGTTCTTTTCTTCATAGTCCAATGCATATTGGTTTCATCTCCATGGAACCAAATAGCCTGTTCATACCTCAGTACCTTGATTCCGACCTGGTCCTCTTTGTTCACCATGGTAAAGTTCACTTCAATACACTGACTTCATAGAAAATTAAACTACAAACCAGAGTTCTTCATTTTCTATGAATTGAATGCAGGGGAAGCAAGAGTTGGACACGTTTATAGGGATGAGTTAGCAGAAAGGAGTTTAAAGCAGGGAGACATCTACACGATTCCTGCTGGATCAGCTTTCTATTTGGAGAATAGAAATGAAAATCAGAGACTTCGAATAATTTGTAGTATTGATATTACCTCAGAATCCATGGGATGGCATGCTTTCCAGGTACCCTAAGTCAAATTCTCAAAAATTGATCATTTAATCCATTTCTTTACAAAACTTCTCAACTTGTGATAATATTTTGCAGTCTTTCTTCATTGGTGGAGGAACTCATCCTGCATCCGTTCTTGCGGGATTCGATCATACCACATTATCAACTGCTCTTAATGTAAGGGTTCAAATGAATTTACCATTTCTTACTACATTTATCAGTGGAAAAAGAGTAGCTGAGTTAATATTAAGTAAAATGGCAGGTCTCAACAGAAGAGTTAAAGACGTTCTTGACCAGGCAAACCTCGGGTCCAATCGTGCATCTATCTGGTTCTCATCACACAAATACGTGGTCTGAGTTCTTGGCCCAAGAACCCCACCATAAACTAGCTCACTTGAAGAGGATTGTGAATTTCGAGGAAGAAGCTAGCTCCAAACAGGAGGAATCAACATGGTCAATGAGGAAAATTCTTTTCACTTTATTAAACAGAGAAGACATTGTTAACAGAGTAGGTCACAGAGCTCCATCAGCGTGCAGTCTCTACAACAGGAATACCGATTTCAAGAATGAGTATGGATGGACCAAGAAGTTGGACGAGTCTGATTATTCTCCACTAAAACAATCTGGCCATGGAGTTTATATCGTCAATCTATCTCCGGTAATTATCAGTTGCATGCATTAACTCAAATCTCAATGCGTGAAAGAAAATCATAGTTAACATGGTCCATGTATATATAGCAACTTGTATGCTTCTTATCTTGCTTACACATTTCATCTCTCTTTTACTTGTAAATTTAGGGATCCATGATGGCACCTCATGTTAACCCAACAGCCATAGAGTATGGAGTAGTGTTGAAAGGGACTGGTAGGATTCAAATTGTGTATCCAAATGGGACTTTAGCCATGAATGCAAGAGTACGAGAAGGGGATGTTTTTTGGGTGCCAAGGTACTTCCCGTTCTGCCAAATTGCCTCAACAAATGGCCCATTTGAGTTCTTCGGCTTCACTACATCAGCAAGGAGGAACCATCCACAGTTCTTGGTGGGTAGGAACTCATTAATGCAGCGCTTGAGAGGGCCAGAATTTGCAGCTGCATTTGGAATTGGTGAGAAAAGGCTTAAAAGGATTACTAATGCACAGCATGAACAAATCATTTTGCCATCATCATCATCTACTCCTGGTGACATGGTCTAGTTGAGTTATGACATGAAAGCTCAAAGCCAGTTTTGGAACTTAGTTTTTTTGTTTCCTCTTGTCCGTTTTTCTTTCATGCGATCTGCTTTTGTTTCCTCGGTAGTCTTGTTGAACATAAGACATATTGCCCTTTTGAGTTGTGAATAAGACGGATTGGCTTTTTGACATGATTTTGTTCTTCGTTTGAACTATATTAGTATAAGTTATAAGAAAATTTAAAATTTCAGCAACTTCAGGTTATTTATGTCCATGCAGCAGATCTATGAGCTGGTAGTCTCACAAAAGTATTAGTCAAGCATGCGTTCACCCGTGAAATGTTCTTGTTTAAGCTTAGTGACGCATAGCCTAGCATATATTGTATACACATAAAAGTGATTTTGACCTTTTCTATAGCCTTAATATGCTATAATACATCTGTTTTGATACTTTAGTCATACGGCAGGGCTCAAATTACTAATCCAACTGGTCAGCGTCTCCACATTTTTGGTAATATCTTCTAGGAAATCACTTCTAAGTATGACCAAAATATCGTCTGGATAGTTCTCTTTTACCTCGTCCAACAAAGCTTGAAAGATTTGACATTCAGTGTTAGTAGCAAGCTTATGATCGGAGTAACCTCTGGGACAGTCAAACAGTCTAAACATATTTAATAGGGCGATGCTAGAGATGCATACGAACAGAAAAGTAAGGATCAATTGATAAGAGTACCTCTTAGTGAACCGTTCATGCAAGACAGAACTGTCAGTTTGAAGTACCACCACACAATCAAAGCAACATTCAGGAAAGAAGTCACAGGCGTGATGATCAACGATGTTTCCACCTTCTTCCATCAATTTTTCAAGAGCATCACATACCTGGATAGGAAACATAATGCTACTTAATATTCAAAGAAAATTAATTTCCCCAGTCGAGACCTGGAAATAGGAAAATTTGGTATACAGAAACTTCAGACTGTAAATATAGAATAAACATGTTCTTTTTCCTGCAGGCCTGCCTTCCTATAGTAAATAGCATAAAAACTCATAAAATGCAAGGTAGAGAAACAACACAATCACCATATAAAACTCAAATTCCATCACTTGATCATCCTTAGTTAAAACCGCTTTTGAAGAGCACAAATCAATTGATCAATCAACGATACCTCAATCCCGAATCAACTTAGTTGGGTATATCTATATGAATACAGTATCCATTCGACTCAATTCAGTTCCATTTTATTCCCATACTAAATATGATGTACTCTGAAGAGCACAACTTAAACAAAATTCAAATTAATACTGCTATCTAATCCTTGAATCTCACCTATTGAATGTTTAACAGTTCGTGTCCATTAAATCTAAAACTTCCTAGAAAAACATTGCAGCAACTTCTGGGTTAGGGACCATAAATTGTCAAAACTTGAACAAAAATAGAGTAATTGGTAAAAAAAAAGTCAAAATTAAGGTATAGGTTTAACCTGTTAGAGCTTTAATGAGGAAAATGTATAAAGACTTACGAGGTCTTCATTGATGTAGTAGCAATCGAAGGTGTCATCCCAGCCGTTCGTCAAGTTTTCCTCATTAGCGAAATCGCCGACGTTGATATGGCGGAGCGCTGTCACCTCCGCCAGAGCAGCCGCCGTAGTTGTCTTCCCTGTGCCCGGAGTTCCGGTGATAAGTATATTAGGTCTCTTCCTGCCGCTGCTATTTTGCGTCATGGCCTTCAGTTGAATCAACAAGAAAGCTTTTCTTTATTAAAGAGTTGACTTAGGACATAGTTGAACTAGGTCAAACTCTCTAAGATTTGTTTAAACAAAATTAAATTAACAAGAGAAATTAAAATAATAAATTAGTGTGAGTTGATTAATTAGAACGAGTGTGTTTACATTATACCTTATATCATTTCTTTTATTGTATTTGAAATGGTCATCAAAATGCAATTTCTCAGTTTCATTCAATTACGTCCTTTTTCTTCCCAAATCTTCCGGGTAACTATTTTGCAGTCTTTCTTCATTGGTGGTGGAACTCATCCTGCCTCCGTTCTTGCTGGATTTGATCATACCACATTATCAACTGCTCTTAATGTAAGTATTCAAATGAATTTACCATTTCTTACAACATTTATCAGTGGAAAAAAAACAAGGTGTGTTAATATTATGTAAAATGGCAGGTCTCAACAGCAGAACTAAAAACTTTCTTGACCAGACAAACTTCCGGACCAATTGTGCATTTAATTGGTTCTCATGACACAAACATTTGGACCAATTTCATTGCTCAAGAATGCCACAAGAAACTAGCTCACCTGAAAAGGATTGTAACTTCCGCGGAAGAAGCTAGCCCCAAAGAGGAGGAATCAACATGGTCATTGAGGAAATTTTTGTGTACTTTATTCAGCAGAAAAGGTTTTGTCAAGAGAATGAATCATAATGCCCCATAAACATACAATCTCTACAACAGGAAGCCCGATTTCAAGAACGAATATGGATGGAGAAAGAATGTGGATGAGTCTGATTATTCTCCTCTACAGATATCTGGCAATGGTGTTTACCTTGTCAATCTATCTTCGGTAATGACTACTTGCACACACTGACTAAAATGTACATTTGCCTCAGGCTAGGCTATGACAGTTACTATATATGTCCAAGTATAGTAACTTGTGTGTTGTTGTTCTTGATAAATGTAGGGATCCATGATGGCACCTCATGTTAATCCAAGAGCAATAGAGTACGGAGTAGTGTTGAAAGGGACTGGCAGGATCCAAATTGTGTATCCAAATGGGACTTTAGCAATGAATGCTAGAGTACGAGAAGGAGACATTTTTTGGGTGCCAAGGTACTTCCCCTTCTGTCAAATTGCTTCGACTAATGGAAATTTTGAGTTCTTCGGGTTCACTACATCAGCAAGGAGGAACCATCAACAGTTCTTGGTGGGTAAGAACTCATTGATGCAGAGATTGAGAGGGCTAGAATTTGCAGCTGCATTTGGATTGGAGAGAAAAGGCTTAAAAGGATTACTAATGCTCAACATGAACAAGTATACCGTCGGGCCCAATACAACAACATTGTATACCGTCGGGCTGGGGGAGACTCCGCCCTCCGTTCTTTCTGTTGTAACGGGTCCGATTCAAGGCATTCAACAATTACATTTTTGGCTTTTAATATATGAAGACAATTTTTGAACAATGGAGGATTTGCTATTGTGAGCAAATGTATAAGAACTGCATTGCAGAATTAATTTGAATAGATAAGTAAAATTGATGTTGAAGTTTAAGCGACAATAGAATCCATGTCAAGGAAACAAATCCGTCTTATTCACAACTCAAATGCGCAATGTGTCTTGCTTCCAACAAGACGATGCCAAGGAAACAAACTCAGACTGAATAACAGGGGAAGTAAAAAAATAAAAATGAAAAGTAACAAAATTGGCTTCGAGCTTTTGTGCCATATTCAACTAGACGAAAGACGAACTAGAATTTCCATAAACTAATAAGAACCAATGTTCATCCTCATAGGAGAATCTGACGATGATGAAGGCAAGATGACTTGTTCACGTTGTGCATTGGCAATCCTGTTAAGCCTTTTCTCGCTGATTCCAAATGCAGCAGCAAATTCTGGCCCTCTCAAGCTTTGCATCAATGAGTTCCTACCCACCAAGAATTGTGGATGATTCCTCCTTGCTGATGTAGTGAAACCGAAGAACTCAAGCGGGCCATTTGATGAAGCAATTTGGCAGAAGGGGAAGTACCTTGGCACCCAAAAGACGTCCCCTTCTCGTACTCTTGCATTCATTGCTAAAGTCCCATTTGGATACACAATTTGGATCCTGCCAGTCCCTTTCAACACTACTCCGTACTCTATTGCTCTTGGGTTGACATGAGGTGCCATCATGGATCCCTACATTTATCAAGAATAGAAACATACAATAAGTTAGGCGATTTGAGACTATTGGATCAAAGGTCACCACCACTTCTATGAGGCAAGATGATTTACCTGAGATAGATTGACAAGATAAACACCATTGCCTGATCGTTGTAAAGGAGAATAATCAGACTCATCCACTGTCTTACTCCATCCATAGTTGTTCTTGAAATCAGGATTCCTGTTGTTGAGATTGTACGATGATGGAGCTTCATGATTCACTCTCTTGACAACATCTTTTCTGTGCAGTAAGGTACACAAAAATTTCCTCAATGACCATGTTGATTCTTCCTCTTTTGGGGTAACTTCTTCCTCTAAATTCACAATCCTCTTCAAGTGAGCTAATTTTTGGTGGGGTTGTTGGGAAACAAATTCAGTCCAAATGTTTGTGTGATGATGAGAATCAGATATATGCACAATTGGCCCCGAAGATTGTCTGGTCAAGAACGTTCTTACTTCTGCTGTTGAAACCTGCAGTTTTACATAATTTTGGTTCAGTTTTTCCTCACTGATAAATGTAGCATGAAAAATTAAGTTCCCTTGAATACTTACATTAAGAGCAGTTGATAATGTGGTATGATCGAATCCA